GGAAATAATGGTGGGTGGAAAAATTACATTTTACTTTTTTAATTTTTTATGGTGGGTGAAATTATCATGTGGGTGAGAAAATAAGACAATAGTGTGGGTTTACTAGCACTCAAAATTTATGACTCAGAAACATAATTACGCTTTTCCCAAAAATAAAAATTAAGCTTGCTGCCATGGACTCCTCCCTTTTGGAGTCCGTTGAGACGGCGACTGGTTGTTGGTTTGAAAATCTTCTTAATGGCGCTCCGAGCCATGCTCTGCCGAGCGATTCTTGGGTAATCTCGGGCTGACGTTGCATCTTCTCCTGCAATTGTTGGCTAATCTCGGGCTGCATCTCTTAGATTACCCAAGAATCGCCGGAGGAGATGCACCGTCAGCCCGAGATTACCCAAGAATCGCCGGAGGAGATGCAGCCAGCTCAGATTACCCAAGAATCGCCGGAGGAGATGTAGCCCGAGATTACCCAAGAATCGCCGGAGGAGATGCACCGTCAGCCCGAGACTACCCAAGAATTGCCGAAGGAGATGCAGCCCGAGATTACCCAAGAATCGCCGGAGGAGATGCACCTCGAGTCCGCTCAGCTTGAGTTCGCAGGAGCTGTGGCAGTCAACATTCAGGAGGAGCCGGAACCCGCCCAACGTGGAATTTCCGCCGCCTCCCACATTCTCAACAAATTGAAGGAGGCATCCTTGTTCATGGGCGGACTGATCGCATTTGTGGAAACTTGGGACGTGGTGCCACAGCTCACCGGCCCGAAGGCATTTCTGCTCCCAAAACTGCTCGCTGTGAAGACCATTATCGACTGCCTCCTTCTTGTCCTCACGGTGTAGTTGAAAGAACAGGAAGTAAAGTACTTCGTCCTTCTTGTGTACCCAATTTCGCTCTCTAGTATCAAGGGACAAGTGGTAAGTTAATTTATAAGATAAAGATAGGCGTGTGAATCATATTATTAATGTGAAAATTTTGTCATCCATTGTATATGTGCAGATGGTGCCGTTGTAAATATGTGTAATAAAAGTTATGGTCAATAAATTTGAACGAGCTTATTAACCTACATACTACATGTGTTTCTTATGCAATGACATTGTATTGTGGTCACTTTCATGGTTCTAGGGGAGGGTACTACATACGAACCAAAACGATAAGAATTGGCAGGTCTTGTATTTGGGGTTTGGTCAGTCAAGGCTTATAGACCAGGCGGTGGAGTGGATTGAATGGACTCTCACCATGTGAGAGAGCAACTTGCATAGAACAAGTTCATCATGTGACCTTCTGATCCAATAACATAACGTAATATAAAGATAAACTTATATATATGCCACAGTTGATGAACTCGTTCATGCAGGTTCTCTTCCTTATAATTGGAGAGAAAAATACAAATAAAAAAGGCCATTAAAGTTTGGTAGGATTCCTAAAATGCTTAATCAACCAATGTAAAAATCTAAAGCTGATCCATATAAAAAAAACACCAAACAAACATTTAAGTTCAAATACTAAAATTGCACAGGATTAAGTTCTTACCAAATAAAACGAAAATCCCAACAAGAAAAAACTGAAACGAAATGTAAAATACTTGAAAGTCTTGAGTCGAACTTCTAATCTCGAGGACGAGATATAACATCTTTGTAGAATTCTTCCTGCAGAATCATCTCTTCCTTGTTCTCTTCCAGCTGAGTTTTGATCCTCTGCTTCAAAAGACGATTTTCGTCTTGCAGCTTTTCGATCTTGTCACGAAGTATGGCATTAGTTTCCTCAGCATCTTTCCTGAGCCTCATTTCTTTCGGGAGCTTGTCCTTCAGCCGAATAACCTCTTCGCTGTCCAGACTCATCTGCCTTGTCGGCTTCAATACCATCTCCTGGTAAGATTTTATATCGAATTTCAGCCCCGCCTTATCATCGCAGTGCTGGTTGAAAGTATCCAAGTCTCGCTTGGTTGGCAAGAAACCATAGAGCTGTCGGATAAGACCTGGACGAAACAAGACAGGATTGCGCTCCCACGCATCCCTACCAAATCCTTGTTCTGCAAAATGCCTGTGCAGCCGCTCCGCCTCAAAGTGTCCCATCGCTGAGGCCTCAAAAATCAACATGCTCATCCCACAATGTCCCTGCGGACCATATGAGTGTCGAGCCTTACTAGCATGGTAATCATCAAACAAATCAAGAAGCTCCTCGGTTCCCATGCCAATCCACTTGTCGTATTCATCCTGCAGTTCGAGTTTTGTGTTCATGATCAGCACCATCGGAGGCCAGATAACTTTGTGATTCTTTTCTTCATCTTTCAAAGCCGCCCATCTGCCGAATACTTGGCCCACAGGTGTGACAGTGGCTCCCTTGAGCTGCAACTCCGCATCTATAAGTTTCGCAAGCTCTCGATGGAGCTTCACCCGCTTGGCCGCTTTAGTTTCTGCATGCCTTTTCAGGGGCTGCACGCCATCGTACCAGTCAATTGCTCCAGGACCATTTTTGCACGCAGGGCAGTGCCACCGCCTGGCAGGATCAATAACCTCATCCACACTTAAACGATCAAACTCGTTGAAGAATTGTTTGAACCATTTGCTCTTCTTTTGAGTTCCATGACTCTTTTCACTAGAGTCAGAGTCAAACTCGTCGCTGAAGAGATCATCATCCGAGTCGTCAAGATCGCTCAGAGGATCAGAGTTGTCCTCGTCATCATAATCTTCAGCAACAGCAGCAGGAGGAACCACATTCTTCTCTTTCTTGCCAGCTCTAGATTGCCAATTCCATCCTTGATCCAGCGGAGGGGGAATCACATTTTTTGGGGCCATAAAGTTGTCTCCAAAACCACCTGTGTTGTTATACGGATGCCTTGCATTTCGTCCCCCAGCTGGTTTTTGAGAATGAGCAGCTTGTGCACCACCAGCACCACTGTGCGTGACAGTTTTCGGAACCCCTTGGGGAGGCGGTCCCCAAGCCTTATAACTAGAACTTTGAGGACCAAATCTGCCACCACTTCTGTTCTTGGATTTCTTGCCAATTACCTCCCATTCTCCATCGTCCTGTGCCGAGTCTAGGCTTGCTACACCCTGACTCAACTGCTTTCCTTTCGGATTCGCGTCACCTCTTCTTGAACTCATCTTCGACAGCAATCCTCTCCCTTGACAAAGCCGGAAACCTGACCAGACACATATGCAGACTTGCACATAAGTACCCCTAAAGCCCGGCAAAATCTTGAGTGTAACTATGTACATCCCTCTCTCTATAGACAGAGGCTAAGCCAAAAATTTAATTAAGAGATGCACCTTATAAAATTCAAAGCTTCTTTTTTGTGGTATCAATGCTAATCCGTATTAACAAAATATATGCAACTTAATAGGGTTGTACATGAGAGTGAATGATAAAACAAAAAAGGCTTTTTAGCTAAAATGATCTCTAAGATTGTTATAACTCTTTACTTTGATCTTTGAGATTTAAAATTAATAGAAGTGGTACCTAAAATTGTCTTTTGTCAATCATTTTGGTCTGTCTGTGAAAAATCTCATTTAAATTGAAGAAAACACTAATTCAAGGGGAGGAGTTGATTTGACAAAAATATTCTTAGTTTGACAAAGATTTCTCACAGAATGACCAAGATGATTGATGGTGGACAATCTCAGGACTACTTCTATCGACTTTATCTGAGGGACCAAAATGAAGAGTTAGGTTAATCTCAGGAACTATTTTTGATAAAAAGCTAACAAAAAATGAGGAAGGAAACGTAAGAACTCTGAGAAATTTTGCAACCATTTTAACAAAGATTATATCAACATTTCTCGAAGACAAAAAATGTGGGAGGGCACACATGCCACCGCAGGGTACATGTGCTCCATCCACCCCATCTCTATGGCACGTGATGACAGAGATAAAACGAGGAGTGTTTACAACCCGGTTACGCGTACAATCTCTGGTAAAATGCACATCATAAATCACACAATTTGACACACCTAGAAAGAAAAGCTGTAAACTTGTGTAGGAAATCTGAATGTAAACCCACAGAAACTCTGCATGCTTCATAAACTTCTGTAATACCCCAATTCATATATCAAAAGAACAAAAATTCCATAAAATCCCTAAAAAATCCATCAAAATTTCATCAAAATCCATTCAAAAAATGTATAAATTTTTTACTTCAACACAAACAACTACACAATGCCATGAACTCATGCAACAAACAAAACACATAACATATTAAAGAACAAATAAAAAATAATAAAAATACCTGAAGCCGAATGAGATGATGAAGAAGATGTTGGAGGAGCTCAGCAGGCCTGATTTTTGTTACGAAATGGACTCCAACAGTTCACCAACCACCTCCTGAGACGAGAGTGATCAGTGATGTAAAAGTCTCTTGTGTTTAAATAATACCCGGAAATCAATTTACTAGAGTGCTCGCTCTTTTGCGTGATTATCTGTGTCTTCACTTGACACGTTTTTTTGTTACAGATAAGTATCTCTTGAAACCTCGAGAAAAGCGTGCCTCAACTACTTTTTTTATATACTATGCCACGTTAAATAACCACGTAACAATGACGAATGACATGATGACACGTCGTATTAATTGCCAACAATAAACAATGTCATGAGGCCACGTCGTCATTGATAGACACCATTGACAGATAATTCCTATTAGGACCCCGAGAATTTCGCCTGATGTATGTGCTGTTAACCAGTGTGTAACGTAACACTGACCACGTGATAGGGATAACAAGCAATATCTATTAGGATCTCGAAAAGTTCACCCGCTGTGTGTGTTGTTAATCAAAGTGTAACGCCAAATTGACCACGTAATAAGAACCAATAACATTAATACCCTGTTGATCATCGATTCATACATTAATGAGTATAATTACCCCCGTTGTAGGTAGATTTTTTCCCTAAATTGGAGAAAGTGGTGCAGCTCATGTGCAACCTCGTCAAGTTGTAGACAATGTAACAAGAGCTAATGACATAATGTCACATTGTCACCAATTGCCAATACCAATTAAGTAAGGAACCGCAGCAGAATGCTCGCTCAGCAACTCAAAACTGCCGCACCGAAAAACCCAAAACCCAGTTTTCTAATTCCGTGTCGGAGCTTCACCACCTCACCTTCTCATCCCTCTCAAGACTCTCACTTGGCGAACCTGATTCTCAAATCCTACCCGCAAACCCTAACCCAGATTCTTCACAGCCCCCAAATCGATTGGACTTCCGATTTGGTCGACAAAACCCTGAAGAGGCTCTGGAATCATGGACCCAAAGCCCTCCAGTTCTTCAGAATACTCGACCACCATCCGAACTACACACACTCTTGCTCCTCCTTCGACCACGCCGTCGATATTGCCGGCCGCCTGCGCGACTACAAGTCCCTCTGGACCCTCGTGGCCCGAATGAGGGCCCGCAGGCTCGGCCCTGGGCCGAGGACTTTCGCTATCATCACGGAGAGGTATGTGGCTGCTGGTAAGCCTGATAGAGCCGTTAAGGTGTTCCTGTCAATGCATGAACATGGTTGTCCTCAGGATTTGAATTCGTTTAATACAATTCTTGATGTGCTTTGTAAAGCTAAGCGTGTCGAAAAGGCGTATAATTTGTTTAAGGTGTTTAGGGGCAGGTTTAAGGCCGATTGTGTTAGTTACAATATAATTGCGAACGGGTGGTGTTTGATTAAGCGAACCCCGAAAGCTTTGGAGCTTTTGGGGGAGATGGTGGAGAGGGGATTGGACCCGAGTTTAACGACGTTTAACATAATGCTTAAAGGATATTTTAGAGCTGGTCAGATTAAGGAAGCTTGGGAGTTCTTTTTGCAAATGAAGAAGAGGAAGGTTTTGATGAGATGGTTGGGAAGGTGTTTGGTTACAATGCTTTGATTCTTGACTAAATGCGTTTTTTGGTGGATGGTGCCTAATGTGACGTGTTTATTGTTGTGATTGATCGGGATGAGGAGATATGAATGAGATGAGTGTGAGCCATGTTCAGATAATGTTGTGATTGTTGTTGATTGAGAAGGCGTTGATTGAGAGAAGATGGTGTTTGATTGTTGTTTGAGAGATGTTTGGTTACCTTTCAATCGCGTTCATGGTTTGGCAACAGGTTGCAGATTTTGAGATTGCAGAGCAAATGTGGTCGTCTTCCCCGTCAAGTAAAATTGTGAATCATGTTGGAATTCAGATTGGCTCATGAACCATGTAGATTTGACTACATTCAAATCTTAACCCCAGCTACTACTGCTCCAAAGGGGTTTCTGTTCCTGTTGAAGTTTCAACACTTGATGTTCTCTTATCGCCATGTGTTGAAGATCTACTGTTTGGAGGATCAGGTGGGCATTCTGGTGCACTATGATCGAAAGAGAGATTTTTTTTGGCACCCGACTTGAGGCTGTCACAGCGAGCAGTAAAAAAACAGGACTGGCTCAATAAGGACCATCTCAGCATTTTGGTTGAAATGAAATATCACGGCGAGAGAAACTTAAATAAGAACAACAGACTGTGAACATGGCAATCATTCGCTTACCAAGAAAAGAAGAACGAGAAATAAAGGCCATGATTGTCAGTGGTTTCACGAGTTTCAAGCTTCAATTGCTTCGTTCTAGCTTGTGATCGTGTAAACTGTATAAAGTGAAGAAATCTTGTAAACTTCAGCACATATCTTCTGTTGTCAAATTTGTAGTTCCATACGTTAGTCAAGTTGAAACCATTGTATTTTCCTTGCCATTCTGCTCAAATTGTATCGCTGCAGCTTCGAAGAAGCTGGTTTCTCGACTTTGTGAATCAATAAGTTCAATTCAGATTTCCAGAAGTTTGTGTCAAGTAAGTTTACACTAGAGCTGGTTTCCTCAAGTTGCTTGTTGCGTTTTGGTATAAAACTACTGTGAGATATAAGTAGACAACGAGTTTATTTCAAAACCACTTTTTCCGTTGTTGAATGAAGCCCTAAGATCGAATCTCCTCTTGCATTTAGGGTAAAGAATTTTTTTTATTCGTTCTTTTCAAAAAACACTCTAAAATAAATTTCATTCAACGTGCTAAAAGGAAAATTTCGTATTTCCCAAAAGAGCAATTTTAATGTTTTACATGGGGGGAAATTGGGCAAGCTCGGCAAATTAGCAACACCAGCCCAAATATCGTGATGACAAAAAAAAATGGAGGCAAAAGCCCCAACATAATCCTCTACGGAATTTTTTGGTGAGTATCATAAGAATTCATAAATCGTGTTCGTTCATCGTACGTAGTGCGATCAGTTTTTATCAGGTACTATTTGTATTTAATTTTAAACAAAAATAAATGTTCGATGAATGAATATGATTCACGAATCGCAAGAATCCTGAAAAAAAAAAAAAAATCCGACAAGCATCTGGATTTGCAAAAGGCCGTAAATTTGGCCCCATCTACGAAAAGACAAAAAGCCCTAAACCCTAAGATTTCGCGCTTATTCATCAAACATTTGAAAAAATTCGCCATCTCTCCCCGCCCTCTACCCTCATACTATTTCTTTCGCAGACTGCTACGCTCCACCACGTCGGCGCTCACTTGCGCAGCCGCCCTTCCCATCCAAAACCCAAACAAACGCTCGCAAAGATTTGAAATTTGTAAACCCCCCGCCTTTTACTCCTCAACCCCCCTTTCCCCCTTCTTTTTTAACGGTCCTCTATCTCTCTCAGCACCTTCGCTTCCCTCCATTTTCTCTCTCAACCATGACTGCTCCTCCATCCCCACCTCCAGCCACAGAGCAACAACCGGACCCAGCTTCAACAGGGCCTTCCGCCAGAAACCACGGCTACAGCAGAAAGCAGAAGTCTCTAGGCCTCTTGTGCTCCAAGTACTTTCTCCCCTCACTCTCCTCTCCCTCTCTCTCTGTCTGCAATTTTCTTGATTCTTTGATTTTCTCTCTCTCTAATTCTTCCTTTCTTTCAAATCGTGTAGTTTCCTCGTCCTCTACAACCGCGACGGCGTGACTTCAATCGGCCTTGACGACGCCGCTTCACGACTTGGTCTCCATCTTTCCCCAATCTGCGATCCCTTCGCACCTCATTGTATTCGATTCATCGGATCTAATGGTTTCTCGACTTGCAGGTGTTGAGAGGCGGAGGATCTACGATATTGTCAACGTCCTGGAGAGCGTTGGGGTCAGTTTCTCTCTTTCCTTTCTTGGTACTTTTGTTTCAATTTGTTTCGGCTTTTTTAATATCAATTTATTCATTAGGTTGATTTTAATTTCCAGGTTCTTGCTCGAAAGGCGAAGAACCAGTATTCTTGGAAAGGATTTAAGGCGATCCCTAATGCCCTGCAAGAGCTAAGGGTATTTATCTCTCACAATTCATCATTAAGATTCAGATTGATCCAATGTTCTCTTTAATTTTGGTGTTCGTTTCTTGAATCTGTTTGAATTTAGTACTGATTTGGTGATTTTATTGTGTAATAGGAAGAGGGCCTGAGAGAGAATATTTGTAACTTTGACGGCAACGAAGATCCAAAGGTAAGTCTTTGGGGTGTTTTCAATATTGAGCTGTTCATCTCTTCAAAACAAGGTTTTTGAATTCAAAATTCTAAAATTTTCTTTTTTTCTCGCAGGGTTATCAAATTTCAGACGACGAGGATGATGCAGAAAGATGTGGGAGTCAGCAGAATGAAAACTCCAACCCTACTCTCAATGTTAAACCTATGAACCCAAAATCAGGTAAGCCTTGTTTTCGGTGTTTTCAATCTTGTTCGGTGCTTTGGGCTAAGTTATAGGGGGGATATTCAATTACTATGAATGGTAAGTTTGGTGATATCCTAAAGACTCTTACTTTTTATTTGCTGTTAAGCAGATAATAGAAGGGAAAAGTCGCTGGCGCTTCTTACGCAGAATTTTGTGAAGCTCTTTGTGTGCTCAACTGTGAGTGAAATAATGGATAACAACTTGCTTATTTTATAGAACTGTGATTTGGGTTTTGCGTAATTTTGGGCCATTATTGATTTTACTGCGTGAACTTGTAGGTTGAAACGATTTCCCTTGATGAAGCTGCCAAATCACTGCTTGGAGATGCACACAAAGCATCAGTGATGAGAAGTAGTAAATTTGTACTTGGTTTTCTTTATTCCTGATCATATGTTATAATGGAGCAGAAACTCTTGACTAACTTTTGTTCGAAACTTGATGAAGCAGCAAAGGTAAGGCGGATTTATGATATTGCGAATGTTTTGTCATCCATGAACCTCATTGAGAAGGTAAAAACACTAATTTGAATCCTCAATAGAAGAAAGAAATGAAACTTCCGAATTTAGAATCATATACACGTTATTTAGTCAAGATAAATGTTTTTCTTCTTATGCAAAAATGTGCAGACCCACACATCAGATACGAGGAAGCCTGCATTTAAGTGGTTGGGATTAAGAGGAAAAGAGGAGGTTCCTCAGGAGACTAAGAAGAGAGCTTTTGGCACAGATATAACGAACGTCAGTTCTAAGAGGGGAAAGGTAGACTCTTTTATTGGTGGGAAGTTGGATGGGCAAAAACAGAAGGGCCTAGTAGGTGAGGCTGATAGGAGCAATTTGGAAGACTCAAAAGATGGTTCAAAGAGCTATCAGTTTGGTCCTTTTGCTCCTGTCACTATTGCCAGAGCTGGGACTGGCAACACGAGGAACGTTCATGACTGGGAGAAATTGACGTCTACTTATCGTCCTCAGTATCAAAACCAAGGTATCATCTTATGATTCATCATGCATTAGATTGAAAGAAATTGATTTTGAACAGTAAATATAGCTGCTCTTATCATTTACCATTAGCATTAGCGATCCATTTCTATAGGTTTGAATTCACATCAGGAAGCCAACTAAGGGATAAGAAACTTCATTAGTTTTTATACCCACAGATGATTGATGGACACTTTTTTTTTAATGATCCATGACTATCATCAGCCTTGGTGAACTTGTCTGTAGGACCAGCTGACAATAGTGGGAGAACGAGAAGGGAGGTGGATAGAGAAAGAAACATGACCGGAGACTGACTAGGTGTGGGAAGAACAGAACTGGATATCCAAACCCCGTGTTGAAACAAAGCCAAGAGGACAATCATACTAGCAATAGGAAAACGTCTTATAGCAGAAATCGAAATCAAAATCAAGCACGCTTTACATGATTATTACTGTCGCCATTACTATCGGATGAAAATTTACTAAATCATGTGTCTTGCTTCATGTTGAAGCTTTGAAGGACCTGTTTTCTCATTATATGGAAGCATGGAAGACATGGTACTCCGTGTAAAGATACCAACAGATACGGAGAAGATGTATTCTTGCAGAAGAAGAAATAGGTATTCGAAGAGAGAGAAAGAGAATTTTAGATAGAGAAGATATGTTTATTTCTTGACTATTTTTTCATATCTTACAATGATGGTTATGTAGAGTACATATCTAACTAGATTGCTTACTTTCTAAGCTATTACAAAGATTACAGGATGACTAACTACACTTGTCACTATTACAACCACACGATTACAAGCTGTTAAGATTGCTTTGTCTATTGTTATCATCCCTCGTCAATCACAGGAGGAGATTTGCTCAACCTGAGATTGTAACAATGTGTTCGAAATAACGGAGTAGACAATCCCTTGGTAAGAATGTCGGCAAATTGTTCATTGGAAGACACAAACTGAAGTTGAAGTAACTTTTTGGCAACCCTTTCTCGAACAAAATGAATATCAACCTCAATGTGCTTTGTCCTTTGGTGCATAACTGGATTATAAGCCAAGGCTATAGCAGAAAGATTATCATAGAAAAGAGTGACTGGACATGAGATATCAATCTGAATAAACTTCAGAAGTTGAGTGATCTAGTCAATCTCTGCAGCTGTGGATGAAAGTGCTCGGTACTCAGCTTCAGTTGAGGACTTAGAAACGGTATTTTGTTTCTTGGATAACCAAGAGATGGGACTAGACCCTAAATAAACCACCAAACCTGTAGTAGACCGTCTGTCATTTGGATCCCCAGCCCAGTCAGCATCATTGAATGCCGTTAAACATAAATCCCCTTTGCTTAGTTGAACACCATAATCCATTGTGCCTTTCAGATATTGGAGGATTCTCTTCATAGCTAGAAAATGAGATTCCATGGGACAATGCATAAACTGACACACTTGATGCACAGAGAAAGCAATGTCGGGTCTTGTAAATGTAAGATATTGCAAAGCACCCACCACACTTCGATACAATGCTGGATCATGAAAGGGTTTTCCATCATCTTTAAGTAACCTGGTATAAGGCAGACAAGGGGTATTACACGGTTTTGAGAGAGCCATATCAGTCTTGTGAAGCAAATCTGTAACATACTGACTTTGAAAGAAATAATCTAGTAGAATGATGAGTAATTTGGATCCCTAAGAAGTAATGGAGTGGTCCCAAATCTTTAATATCAAATTCTTGAGCTAAAGCCTGTATAACATCAGTAATAGCTGCAATAGCACTGCCTGTGATGATTATATCATCCACATAGAGCAAGAGAATGACCACAGAATTGCCAACATGTTTCACAAATAAAGAGGAGTCTGAATATGTTGTAAGAAAACCCAGAGAAGGCAAAAAATTGGTACACCTCTCATTCCAAGCCTTTGTGGCTTGTTTCAGGCCATATAGGGATTTATGTAACTTACAAACATGAGAGGGCTGTTAAGAGTTAACAAAACCTGGAGGTTGAGACATATAAACCTCTTCTTGTAAAATGCCATGAAGAAATGCATTCTTCACATCAAGTTGCCTTAAAGACCAACCAAACTGTGCAGCTAAAGCCAAAACTAACCTCACATTTGTAGGTTTAACAACTGGACTAAAAGTCTCTCCATAGTCAATACCTTCTTCTTGATTGAAACCTTTGGCAACAAGTCTTGCCTTATCTCTAGAAATGTTCCCATCTACACCTCTTTTAATCTTGAAGACCCACTTACACCCTACCAAATTCTTGTTTGCAGGAAGAGGAACTAAGGACCAAGTTCCTTGAGAATGCAAAGCTAAGAGCTCTTCTTGCATTGCTGCACTCCATACTGAAGATTTAAGAGCGGACTTGTATGTTGATGGTTCCACCTGAGTTAAATCAAGTGGATTGTCCTCTCCAATGGTTGAGAGAAAAACTTTAGGCTTGAAGATGCCATTTTTGGATCTTGTCTGCATGTGTATTCATAGGTTGGAGAGAAGGAACCACTTGCAAACTCTCAGGTTGGAACTCGGAAGAAAACTCAGTGTGATCATGATGATTAGATCCAGAGGACAATTCTGCAGCCACAGGGGAATAAGGTAGAATAGACTGTGTTGATGTTGCAGTAATGGATTCAGGGTATGGTGGGTTAGGAAGAGACTCAAGTGTAGGTAAGGTAGAGGCAGATGAGATGGAGACAACCTGATTATCATGTGTGACATAAAGCATTGAAATAGATAGGGGTGGTTCGGTATGGGATCCCATACCGAAACCCTTGTCCTGATTCCCAAACCAAAAATTTCGGGAATCCCAATTTCAATACCGATCCCAAACCAAATTTTCGGGAATCCCAATTTTCGGGAATCCCGAAATAGTTTCGGGATTTCGGGACAAATCGGGAATCCCAAAATAATTTTGGGTTTTTGGGCTTTTGGACTAAAATATTATGTTTTTGGGCTAAAATTGAATCTTTTAACACTTTTGGGTTGCAATCTGCTAAGAAGCTCGTTGCAATATGTGTCAATTGCAAGACTATGTCAATTTAAATGTAGATACTACAATTGCAAGACTCTGCCAATTTGGATTCAAATGTAGATGCTACAATTGCAAGACTCTGTCGATTTAAATCATTCATACAGAAATATGTGCAACTATTGAAGCCTTCATTTTCTATGGACTCTATCGATCTAAATATATATTTAAAAATTAAATAATATATATATATATTTTTTCGGTTCGGTTTGGGAATACCAAAATCCCAAAAACTTGACCGATTCCCGTACCGAAATTTCCGGATCGGTTCGGTATTGGGTACCGAAATTTTCGGGAATTTCGGTTTGGGATTTTTTCGGTTTGGTTTCGGGAATTTTTCGGTTTGGTTTGGGATTTTTGGAATTTTTTTCCAGCCCTAGAAATAGAGGATGACAAAATAGGAGTAGAAGATGAGGAATTTGGGGTTTTGGAAGACAACATGGCATAAGGAAATTCACTCTCATAAAAAATGCCTAGATATATACATCTTTTGTTGACTCATTTCATAGCATAGGTAGCCTTTGTATCTAGAAGCATAGACTAAAAAGACACATTTTGTTGTTTTAGGTTGCAACTTGGTGTTATTGTAAGGTTTTAACAGTGGGAAACAAGAACAACCAAATATCCGAAGATGATTGATAGCTTGTACATCTTTAAACAACAACTCAAATGGAGATTTGTTGTGTAAAACAGGTGTTGGCATTCTGTTAATAAGGTAGACAGCAACTTGGCAGGCAAAGGACCAGAATTTTGGAGGCAATGAGGCAGTTTGCAAAAGGGTTATAGCTGTTTCAACAATATGCCTATGCTTCCTTTCAGCTAGGCCATTTTGTTCAGGGGTGTATGGACATGAAAGTTGATGTTTAATACCCTTGGTCACAAGAAATTGTTGAAAAGACTTGCTAATATATTCACCTTCCCCATCACTTTGTAAGGTTTTAACAGAAACATCAGAGTGATTTAAGACAAAATTGTAAAAGGCAATGAAAGTGGAACAAACATCACTTTTATTGATGAGAGGAAAGAGCCAACAATGTCTAGTGCATTCATCAATGAATGTCACATAGTATCTAAAACCCTCCACAAAATTACAAGGGGAAGGAACCCATACATCACTATGAACAATATCAAAAGGATGCATGGACTTGGAGACATAGTCAACAAATGGTAATTTACAAAATTTCCCTTCTAGACAAGAGTGACACATCTTAGACTTATGATCAGGTATATTAGATACATTGCATTTTCTTAAAATTGCAGATACTATATAATTGGATGGATGGATGGCCTAATCTACTATGCCATAGATTCGAAGTTACAAATTGTCCAAGGAAAGCAACTTGCACTCTTGGTAAAGAAGAATGATATGAAACTGGTAGGGAATAGGGTATAATCCATTACTGCAATGTCCCTTGAAGAGTGTCCTCCCTGTGGCTTTGTCCTGGATCCAAAAACAGAAAGCATCATATATTAACCAGCAATTATTATCCAGACACAATTTATGCATGGATAACAAATTCTGAGTTAGTTTAGGCACATATAGAACTGAATTAAGATGCAGTGGTTTGAAAGGTGTATGTAGAATTGATGAACCAATGTGGGAGATTGATAAACCTGCACCACCACCCGCATTTGAATTGTCTCATTGGAAGGAAATGGAGAGGCCAATGGCAACTGATTAAGGTTAGCAGTCATGTGAGATGTAGCCTCAAAATCTGTGAGCCAAATCTGTTGAGGAGGAGCATTGGGAACAAAGGATGGAGCAGCAACATGCATAGTTGACACTTGCTGAGTTTGTAGGTTGGCATTTCGAAAATGATAGAAAGGAGCACTGTGATTCCTTTTTCCACAGATTTGACAGCCTTCTGGAATAGAGTTCTCAGTATTTCGAAACCAGCAAGTAACAGCTAGATGTCCAAATTTTCCACAAATTTGACATGGAGTCTGGAAAAATCCTTGTGCCTTTGGTGGAGAGGATTTTTCCAATCCAATCCAAATTTCTTGATGCTTCTCTGTTTTGACATGCGCCAATTGACTCAAGGAAATCACTTCAATTCAACTCTCGTTAACCCGGCAGAGAAGGATTATTTTCGACATTCTCACAGAATTTTTTTATTTGTTTCCGTTTGAATCGGTGGCTAGTTAGAGATGTGCATATATTTTGTGTAAATTACAGTAAAACTTGCAACTATATATGCAAGTCATACAAAATATTTGATGAACAAATGCATAAACTCAGAAAAAAACTCCACATATCTTCTCTTCTGATCTCTGGTTCCGGATCTCCTAATTAACATCGTGTTTCATGTTATTTTGTAATGAGGAATTTCGCGTGCCCACACATCCACAGATAGACATTCTCCACATAGTTACGCCTTGGTAGAACATTCGTACACCAATCCGAGAACTCCCTGGTCCGCTGCAGACATTCCCGAGGACGAGTTTACTAATCCGTAATCAAATTGAGAGAAATTAGATTGAGGAGGAAATAAAATGAGCCAAAATTAGAATCAGATTATTGTTGAAGTTGTTTATTAAAACAATCTGGAATTGGAATAAAATTTCATAAAGCTGTTTACTAATTCAGCAGAATAAGAATATAAATCAGTATGATTACTAAAATGCCCTTGTGCCAAATCAAATATTTTATATTTTTTTAATAAAATTTGATTCAATATATAATAGTGAGAAAAAATTAAATAGCTTTTTTATTTCATACACACTAAAATGATTTTGTTTATTAT